AGGAGGAGGGAGAAGAGGAGAAGGAGGAGGAGGGAGAAGAGGAGAAGGAGGAGGAGGGAGAAGAGGAGGAAGAACAGGGAGAAGAGGAGGAAGAAGAGGAGGGAGAAGAGGAGGAGGGAGAAGAGGAAGAGGGAGAAGAGGAGGGAGAAGGGAGTCTTTTCTTCATTGTCTCTGTCCTTTCCACACATCCCTCTTTTCATCTGTTCCACCATTCACTCTCCTTCTTTCCTTCCTTCCATCCTTCCTTCTTTTCTTCCTTCCATCTTCCTTCCTTCACTTCTCCCATCTGCCCTTTTCCTTCTAGCTATCCCTTCCTAATAATCATTCTGTTTTCCCTTTGTCCTTGCCTCCTTCCTTCTGTCCATCTCCCTCACTGGTGTTTAACCTTCTGTCTACTGTTTGGTTCATCCTTGTAACCAAATAGCCAGTCATTTAATGGCCAATCTACCCATCTTCCTTTTCTCCATGTGGCTCACTGTCTTTCCATACTTCCTGTTCCAATCCAATGGTCAGTTTCAAATGTCCACCTAGGCTCACGTGGGGAAAGAATCTCAGCTGAGGAATTCTCTGTATCTAGTTGGCTCATAGGTGTGTCTGGGGGGGGGTTTGCCTTGATTGTCACCTGGAATTGGAAGATCTACCGTGAGTGTGTGCTGCCCCATTTCACGGGTTGGCCCCCTAAGCTGCACAACCGTGAAGATGGATGCTCAGAAGCAGTGAGCAATCACGCAGAGACCCCTGAGTGGTTCTCTGCCCTATTTGGGGATGTGCTGTCCTGCTGCTTGAATTCTGCCTCGACTTCCTCTCTGACGGGCTGTAGCTTGGAGTCGAGCCAGATGAGCCCCTCTTCCCCTTAGCTGTGTTTTGTTGTGTGTCTCATCACAACCACAGTATAGAAGCAGAACACGATCTATAAATGAAAGGAAAGGTCCCTGGAGGATGCGCAAAAGATTGATGTAAAATTGGCCCAAACCTTGTTGTCCTCAGACAGACAGACAGCTGGGTGCCTGGTGGTGTCAGCCTTGTATCAATGCAAGAAGGAGTTTGTCCTGGTTGTTGTTGGCCTGGTAGAATAGACTGCCCATTCAGAGAATAGGTATTGTTTCAGACACAAGGAGCCACACATCAACCCCTTGCTTTCCCAAGTCTTAGAGCAGGTACCAGAGTAAGTTAGCTCAGCCCCAGTCCAGCACCAACCAGGGTCTTGTGGGTCTGGTCCCAGCCCCATTCATCCAAGCTTGTCCCCAGAACATTACCCCTAGCATCTTGGAGATTCCTGAGAAGGATGGCTATTTTTCCATGACAGCCTGTGTCCTTTGCTACTCTGGGGTACCCATAAAGAGAACTGGCAGACCAACAGGGATTCATTACTCAGTTGCACCTCGCATGTCCACTGAAGCTAGATCTCAGACAACTGCCCGCTATGAGAACTAGCTGATTTCTGAATCCCCAATTTCCACTTGACTCTCATTTTACAAAGGGCAAACATGTCCTAATCCAGCAGATCACAAAAAGGGACCAGGAGGAACCTAAACATAGGCATACAAGCAGGATTCCTTCCAACCCAATTTTCTGAGCAAATACAATCAGAGTAACGTTAAACCCCTCACAGTAACATATTGGTTACTCTTTTGTTGCTGTGTTAAAATTCCATGTCCAAAAGCAATTAGGGAAGAAATGGTTTATTTGGGCTATGGTTTTAGAGGGAGAGAGTCTGTCACCACAGGGAGGTATGGCACAGGCGCAGGAAACTGGTCACATTTTCGCCCTCACACAAGAAACAGGGGTTGTGTTGGTGGGGGAGGAGGAGGGGAAAAACAGGAAGTAGGACAAGGCTATAAACCCTCAAAGCCGTCCCCAGTGATTCTGGTGATGTATTTCCTCCGGCAAGGCTTCTCTCCTTAAAGGGTCCATAACATGTCCAAACAGCATCACCAGCTGGAGACCAAGTGTTCAGATACATGAGCCGGTGGAGGACATTTCACACTCAAACCACTGCGATGGGCTTTATCATAGGTGCCATGAAGAGACATCAGCTCCCCGGATCTCTGAAAGTCAATCAAAACATTAAGGTTCTCAGGGCCCAGCTAGCACCCTTAGAAGGGAAACGAAGTCTAACTGCATATATCTGGGGATAGCAGCGAGTGAGAGTGGCTTTATGCTTATGAGTATATGGCCAAGAATGCCCAGTGCGTAATGCTCTTGAGACCATCGCAGAAGATGGGGCAGAAAGAATGGAGATCCGGAGGAAGGTATGGCACGTTATAGAATGCTGTCTTTGGTGTGTGCCAGGGGCATCACACTCATGAACTCCGGGCAGTGGTGATTACCTGCACAAGATCGAGCCCATTGCTACCCTGTCATCATTGAGGAGGGGTTCATGAGGCTCCACCCATCCCCAGGGATCCACAGAAACTAGTGGTTCCTGGAGGAAGGAGAGACGTGTGCTTAGTGATGCAGCCACTAGTTAGATGCCTGTGCTTCTGTAAGCAACCCTAATGAAACTCACTGGGTCTTCTTAAAAATAAGATATGAAAGTAAAAGGGACACAATTGGAGGAGGAAGGGGTCAGCAGGAGGATGAGGGAGAAAACCGGGAATCACGGGAGGTGAATATGATGTGTGTGTGTGTGTGTGTATAAAATCCATCATTATGTACAATAAATATATACTCATAAACATTTTAATTCAGTAAAGAAAAAGGGCTTTCAAGGGTTCAGGAAAAGGTAGGAACCAGGACAATGGGCTAGAGAGACAGAGCAGGCAGGAACTAGGAGGCTGGGCATAGAGTGGCAGTCTCTCTCTGCAAGGTGACATTCTAGAACACTAGGATAATGCTTTGTTTGGTCTCTGCCTGCACCAGATCTCTCTGACAAGCCTCATAGCTAAGATCCTTCAGTATTCAGACGTGGCATCCATCAAAGCCCTTCGGACTCTCCGCGCCCTCCGACCGCTGCGGGCTCTGTCTCGATTTGAAGGCATGAGGGTAAGACCCCGTTTTGGAACCTCTCTGATTGGCAGCATTTCACAAACCTTCTCTAAATTCCCCCACACCCCCATGTCCTCCATACAGTTGACCCAAAGTGACAGGTCCCATTTCCAGATATCACCTCTGCGTTGTCCCTTTCTGATCAGGCTCTGATGACATCATGTCATCTAACTCTCCTGTCTCCCTCAAGTCTGATCTTAAGAACCTCTTTTCTTGTCACCTACAAATGCCATCACTCCCAGAACTCAGACCTTACACGCTCAGGGAAGTGGCCCTGGTTATTCTCTGCCTGTTGGTCTTATCCCTGAGTATGTCCAGAGCTCCCACTGATCCGTTTCAAGTGGTTCTTTTCTCTGGCACTCTATGTAAATGTAGAGATAACCTCCACCCAGCACCTCAGCCAACGTCCACCTGAAGGTGTTGTGGCTCTGGACACCACCTTTATGTCCTGTGGCTTTCTCTCCACCCACCCTGTCTTTCTTTACTGCCATCAGTTAGTCTCAATTCCACCAGTGGCTCAAAGCGGTCACCATAGCTTTGCAAAAATCAGTAGAGCTTTTAGACCAGCTGTGAGCTGGAGAGACGGGTCAGTCAGCACAGAGATCACCTTGCAAACACGAGGATCTAATTCAAGCCCCAGACCCCATGTAAAAAAGCAAAAATTTAAAAGGCAGGCACATAGAGGTGCATTGTATAATCTCAGCTGGAGAGGCAGAGGCGAGTGGATCCCTGGGGCTCATTGGCAGGCAGCCTACCCTACCTAGTGAGTTCTAGGACATGAGAGACTGCCTCAGAGGAGGTGGGTGGGATTTCTGAAGATGACACTGAAGGCTGTCTTCTAGTCTCCACTTGCAGGTGTGTGTGAAAGAACTAAAGACGAGTGACATTTGGGGATTTCAGGTCCTCTTCCATTTCCTACCAGGTAGTGGTGGACGCCCTGGTGGGCGCCATCCCCTCCATCATGAACGTCCTCCTCGTCTGCCTCATCTTCTGGCTCATCTTCAGCATCATGGGCGTGAACCTCTTCGCCGGGAAGTTTTCGAGATGCGTCGACACCAACAGCAACCCATTTTCCCTTGTGAATTTGACAGTTGTGGATAACAAGTCTGCGTGTCACAATCAAAACAACACTGGCCACTTATTCTGGGTTAACGTCAAAGTCAACTTTGACAACGTCGCTATGGGCTACCTCGCGCTTCTCCAGGTGGTGAGTCGAGCCTGAGATCTGTCCTTTCTGTTCCTTTGGCTGCTTAGTAAATGGAGTGTCCAGATTCTTCCAGAAGATGCTACATAGACGCTACAAGAGGCAGCACTGAGTGTAAACCGAATCCATCCTGTATTTCTACAGATGACAGCACTAGATGAGAAGCCCTCACTAATGAGTGTGAGCTCACAGAGCTACCATTGGCTAAGTCTGGCTAAGATAATAAAATAAGATGGGCCATCCATGAGGCTATGTTGAGAGATGGCTTGTGTTTGATAGGGTGCGCAGAGCAAGCATGTACACAGGGCTTTATCTTTCACTTCTTGTTATCTCCTGTATGATAGACCAATTATGGCTGGCTGAGTTTGTTGCAATGATGAATACTATAACGGTCAAGTGCGTTCGTGCTGTACACTTGTCTGTATCCACACCTTCATTCAGCCCGTGTTCACCGTGGCGTGCTTCAGACACTTATACATCTCATGTTTATTTGCTTTCTCCCACTGAGCCACCATAGAACCAGACAGGTCCGGTTAAATGGACAGACACTGAGACAGACACTGATTGTCTTCCACCTTCCTGTTTCCAGGCAACCTTCAAAGGCTGGATGGACATCATGTATGCAGCTGTCGATTCCCGAGAGGTGAGTCCCACTCCTGTGCCTTCTCGTCTGTGCATCCTGTTGCAGTGACTCTCTGTGTGATGAAATTTTAAAGGCCTTGATGCCCAAAGAGTCAGGCATACACAGCTTCCCACAACCCATCTCTGTGGCAACATCCAGCTACTACGTTCTGGGGTATTTGGCCCAACTAGCCTGCCCCTTTCTGTGTGTGCGCCTTAGGCTTTTCCACAGCATCATCTGGGTAGGGGTGGTTGGATTTGTTACTTTTCGTGTTACTATAACCAAACAAACACCTGACAAGAAACAATGTAAACAAGATGTTGCTTTGGCTTACAGTTCAAAGGGGATATGGTCTCCCATGGCCTGAAAGGCATGATAACAAGAGAGGGAGGCAGCTGGTCCTATTGCAGTCCCAGTCAGGAAGCAGAGTGGAAGGGGAAATAATTCACGGCTTCCAGCCAGCTTTCAATCATAAACGTTCCATAACCTTCCTGAAGGGCGGCACCAACTAGGAACCAAGTATCCAAACACTAATGAACCTGGAACCTGTGGAGTGTGGGAGACACTCCACATTCAAATCCTAACAGTGGTGCTGCTGATGGGAAGGCCCCTTCCTGCCATGGTAGACACAACTGATGTCCTACCAGTGTCTCCTCGGCCCCTAGAGTCCTCTGGGATTCCCATCCTCTGTTTGAAGCCTTTCTAAGCTCATCAGATCTTTCTTGATGGTCTCTCCCAGCAGGACAGGGCTGGGATGTTTCTGGACAACTCTCATTGGGGGTTCATAGACAAGTATCACGGCTTCCTTACTCTTTGGCAGTCCCACTGTGGGGCGTGGTCTCCATCAGGGTGGAGCTACAGTCACCTACAGCAGCAGCCTAGTTAATAATACCTCTGCATCCTTTCTCACCTGTGGCTTCTTCCCAGCCCCTCAATCCCGCTTCATGGGATAAAGAACCGGGGTCATGTCTCGGCATTGGCTTTTAGTGAAACCTAAGCCGCGTGGCCTCGTCGCATCTCCCGCTTTGTTTGACCACAGATCAACAGTCAGCCTAATTGGGAGGAAAGCCTGTACATGTACCTATATTTCGTCATCTTCATCATTTTCGGTGGCTTCTTCACACTGAATCTCTTTGTCGGGGTCATCATTGACAACTTCAATCAACAGAAAAAAAAGATAAGTGGGCGTCTGGTGTGTCTGGCGCAGTAATGAATCTTGTGCTTCCTGTCCCTCAGGCAGCTGTGGCCTTGTGGCTAAAAGCCAGCGATACTTACAGTGCTTCCTGTCTGTAGCACCAAGCTGATATTCGACCCTTGGGTTTGATCCTCACCGCTGTCTGGTTCCTGCTGCCGCTACTGCTAGCAGTATTAGCAAATGCTCCCCGAGGTTCCCATCCTCCAGTAAAGTGACCTCGGTCTCCTCAGTTGGAGCCAAATGTCACAGACGATGCCTTAAGAAGTTCCGACAGGGAGAGGAAGAGCTCCAGCACCTGCCACTCTGGAGCTTTAAGCCTCCAAGGGACAGAGTCAAGACATCTCAGGAAGGGCACTTAGGCACTCTCAGATTCCCAGCCTTCTGGGGAGGGAGGTTCTTACCTCCATGCTTCCCGTAGCTTCATAGGAACTGAATCCCAGTTATTTAGCTATATTTATAACATAAAATAGGAGTGTTAAGGTATAAAATGCTTTCCCGTTGTGCCTGCATCCCAAGTCCTCTCCACTCTCAGTACTGTACAACAGAAACAAGCTTTGCTTCAGAAACCCGGGCACTGGATCTTATCCAGGTGCTCACCTCAGAATGTTTAGTGGGTATAACGCTGTGGTAGAGCATTTGGCTGTAGAAACAAACCCGGGCAGGGAGTCTACAATGGGCCATTCCCTCTCAGGCCAGATGTTCCCTGATCCTTCCTGCAGAGGAGATAGGAAGACATGAATGGTCCTTCCTATACAGAACACTCAGGTTTTGGCATCTCTGGGAGAATCTTGTTATTTTAATAACACCAGCGTGTCCCTCTCCTCTACCTAGGGGGCCAGGACATCTTCATGACGGAGGAGCAGAAGAAGTACTACAATGCCATGAAGAAGCTGGGCTCCAAGAAACCACAGAAGCCCATCCCACGGCCCCTGGTGAGCCAGGCTTCCTTGCAGAGTCAGAGAGGGTCTCATGGGAGCCCCTGGTGAGCCCCCGGGGGTTTTCTCTCCCTGAGAAGGTTTAAGAATTAATTCAGCCTAAGCCTGGGATGAACAGAAGTCTGCCCAGTGCTGTAGGGGGAGATCTGGGACAAGTTTAGAGGTGGAAGCGATAAGGCTCCCTAGCCCCAAAAGTGAGAAGTTTAAATGAAGTGAAAGCAGTTTTACAGGTGTGTCCGACAAGCTGTCTGATAACCTCTGCAACACCCAACAGCCTTAGACTTCCATCGTGGCCTTGGAAACAGTAGGAAGCAGTAAGGGTGGTTAGAGTTTCTGCCCCATGGTGTGGCCCTCATATGGGTTACTCCAGTGAGTCCAGGCTGTCAGGACATTTACAGGGAGGAGAAGAAGAGTTGTCACCTTCAACACACTTTGTATGTCTATAAATGAGAATCGATCTGTTGCTGTCTAGAATCTGTTCAGAAGTGTTGGACCAGGAGTGAACGGCAGGGGGTTCCAGACTCTGGAAGGGCAGAGGGTGCCTTCCAAGTTCTATAAGGCTAAGATAACTGGGTTTGGATGAGTCTGAGCAAGAGCGTGCAGGGCTTCCTGAGGATGGACACACACTCATACTCACACACATACATACACACACACACACATATATATGCATATATAGGCATGAACACACACAGGGCTGGGGACGTAGCTATTGTGAAGTACTTACCTTGTAAGCATAAGGACCCAAATTCAACCCCCAGAATCCACATTTATAAAGCTGGGTGTGGTCATATCACTTGTAATTCCACTACTGGGCAAGCAAAACTGGGCAGCTCCCTGGAGCTCTCTGGTCATTCAGCCAAGCCTATTTAGCAAGCCCCAGGCCAGGGAGAGACTCTGTTTCAAAACAAGACAGATGGCACCTTAGAAACAACATCTGAGATTACACACACACACACATACACACACATCATATCACATACACATGTGCACAAGCACCTGTACACACACATCAGTGGGTGAGAACAGGCTCAGAGTGAAAACATTCAGGTGGAAAGCTGAGTCCAGCCAGTGGTACTCAAGAGAGACGTTAAGAAGCAAGCAGCTGAGCTCCACGGCTTTCACTGGCCTCACACCACTGTTGAGATCCCACGGGAACCAGAGCCCTGTGTTTGAGCAACTCTTGAGAATAATCAAGCTTCTGCTGCTTCTCTCCAGCCTCTCACTACTTAGGAAGCAGCCCACAGGTCACTAGTGCTTCTTCCTCTCATCATCCCTGGGCTAAGATGGACTCCGTTTCAGAAACTGCCCTGTAGATATGAAGGCATGAAGCTACTGTTGAAATTCCAGGCAACACGGTCAGAGAGGGAATTGTAGGTGGACACCGTTGCTTCCTGTGAAGTCTCAGCTGGGATCCTCCACATCCTCCAGTGGTGACATAGGGTGGGTGTCCCTCCGCCATGAGGAGGGACGTGGCTTCATTGCCTGGCTCTGCGCCAGAACCCTGGGCTCCTCCATCTGTTTGGAAGAGAGCTTAAACTACTAATTGGCTGCATTGGTAATCTTAGTGGGGAGGCATGACTCCTCTTATTAGGGTTCAAGGCTGGTGCACATTAGCGTGTGTGTTCCCTAATCAAGAAAAGCTGGTGCAAGGTTGGGATATGTTAACAACGCTTTGAAATCTTAGGGAAACCATAAGAGTGGTGTCTAAGCAGAGACCATACCCACAGTCCACAGTCTGTGCTCTGACCAGCATTCATAACCTGATACCACCTGCCCAGCAACGTAAACCTGATCCTCCCTAATGTCTAGAACCAAGAAGGAAATGCGAGGGGAATTTTTCCTACTTTATCTAATGTTACTGGAAGGTTTAGGGTACTAGCCTGGCTCTAGCAGCCCTAACAAGTGGGCCTCCCATCCCAAAATGCCAAGTAAAGAGACGAGTGAGACCGGGAGCCAGAGAAAGGAGACTATTCCACATGGCCACCTTGGTAAGAGGAAGAAATAAAGAGGTCGCAGACAAACACGTCTATCTTCCAAGTCCTCACTCTAGGTTAGGTTTAAAGAGAGAGCGAGCGATATGAATGGGAGGCCCTGGCCAAGTGTGGTCCTGCCTGTCACTGACCTGTCATTAACTCACCTCCAGTCTTTCCTGCAAGGTGGCCTGATAAGCTGCCAAAACTGTACGAAAAAAAAAAATCTCTTCCTGGGAAACAAGCTTCGCTGTGGCTGTCACGAGGCTTTAGTCTTCTATTCCTTCGCCCAGCGTGAGACTTCTAGGGAAATTCACTTGCCCAGAGTCTGTTGTATCAGTATTCTGATGGTCAAACGGAGGGACACGAAGGTCCACACTCCTGCCAGGACACTCTGTCCTCCCAGGACCAGCTTTCTTCCCATCCAGCATCTGTCTCTGGAATGTTCCACCAATGTGTTTGGGATCCAAGCAGAGCATTGGCTGGGAAGCTGTGTGTGGGTGTTCTTCATGGCCGAGCTAACACAGTACCACAAAAGGATTTCCCAAATCCTTTTGCACCCCGACCTCTTGCCTCTGGTAAAGCCCACATTCTAGATCTTGTCTTAACCGGTAGGAAAGCTAAAGGCTCTATAAGACTGGGTGATTTTATTCCATAGTGCTCTCTCTTACAGAAATCACTAAGAGCAGGCTTCACGTACTCCACATTAGAAAATAACAGACTCCAGGCTGTCATGTTCTCAATCACCCTCCACCATCTGAGGCACAGAGGGGAACGGAGATGTGAGCCACGCCCACAGGCTGAGCTTGGAACAGCCAAAAGTTGGGATACCTACCCTAATCTGATGCTTGTTGCATGGTTTGATTTGAAGTCATGTAACCACGAAAAGGTCTCTATATTTTTCTCTGCATTTTTAGTGATGACATGGAAGGGTTCAGTGGCTTAACAATACCCCTCCAATGCCAGGACTTGTGCCAACAGTCATACAGAGCCAGGTCCTCTCTGGTCTGATTCTCTGCTTTAACCCGGCAGGGTAGCAACCCTTCCCCACACTGTGAAGCATCAGTAGGGATCGACTTTGCAGCAGCACTTCCCCCTCCCACCCATTTGAAAGCTTCTGGAAGAACCTTGGTATAACTATAGTAGGTTCTTCTCTCAGACCCTTGTGGCCACACACGTGGGACCCTGGACACAGTATCCATCCAGTGGGTCTCTCTGTGCAGAGTTAGATACAATCAACACTAGTCAGGTGGCTATCAGATGTTGATATGCTTAACTCAGAGCTGCTCGGTCTATCTTCCATTTCCTCAATTTCCTGAGGACATACTGCAGGGTGGGGGGGGGCACGGCATTATACAAATGCTAGAATTCAAACCGTAAGTAAAATGGACACAGGAGCTGCCCTCAGAGAGGCTGCAGTTTGGTGACTGAGAAAAATGACTAGCAAAGACCACACACATGTCCACTCACAGGCTGGAGGGCTTGCAACTGGGGAAAGGATGGGGTAAGAAAGACTGGAGCCTGAAGAGCCCTCATGGCTAGGAGTTGGATACAGGAGGCTGAAACATCCTGGCCTGAGGCTTCCTTCTCTCTCTCAGAATAAGTACCAGGGTTTCGTGTTTGACATCGTGACCAGGCAAGCATTTGACATCATCATCATGGTTCTCATCTGCCTCAACATGGTCACCATGATGGTGGAGACCGACGATCAGAGCGTGGAGAAGACGAACGTCCTGGGCAGAATCAACCAGTTCTTCGTGGCCGTCTTCACGGGCGAGTGTGTGATGAAGATGTTCGCCCTGCGGCAGTACTACTTCACCAACGGCTGGAATGTATTCGACTTCATAGTGGTGATTCTGTCCATTGGGAGTAAGTGGCAGCTGTGCACTGGGGGAGCCCCGTGCCTGCTTAGGCTCCTTTAGATGTTCCTTTCAAACCAAGGAAACAGCCAACTTAATTTTTTTAAAAATCCCTGCTCTCTCTCTCTCTCTCCCTCTCCCCTCCCTCTCTTTCCCTCGTTTGTGTGTGTGTGTGTGTGTGTGTGTGTGTGTGTGTGCAGGTACAAGCATGCCATGATGTTCGTGTGGAGGTCAGAAGACTCCTCTGGTATCAACTCTCATCTTCCACATTGTTTGAGCCAAAGACTCTTACTGTTCTCTGAGTTTTACACCAGGCTAGCTGGCCCACAGCTTCTGGGGATTCTCCTGTCTTCACCTCCCATCTTGCCGTAAGAACACTGGAACACAGGCACATGCTCTCATACCCCGCTTTAGAAGGGCCTTTTCCACAGAGCCATCTCCCCAGGCTCAGCTCACATTTTCTAGCACATTGTCTAGGTTAGAAGAGCCCAGTGTGTGCAGCTTTCAAAGGAAGCGGGCTTTAAATACCTGCAGGATGCTCCCAGAAGAAGAAGATATTCAGTGGGCTTCACCTTGTTATCACAGGGGACAGAAACGTGAAGGTCCGTGCATTGAAATCAATGCTATAAAGATGCTGGGTCTTGGTGAAGCCTCTCTATTTTGGGTGCAGTGGTGTCTGGGGTTGAAAATCTGGTGTGAGAAATGAGGCCACTATAACTTCCTACTTACTGAGTTCTGAGCACCAGGCTGGGGGCCGTGGGTTTTCAGCAGCCCTATGCAGAAGGCTTCACTGATCTCATGTTAGACACTTAAAATGGAGCTTCCGAGGTGAGGAATGTTAAGCAAAGTTACAGAGTAAAATCCAAACTCAGACCAGGCTGTGCTCCTCTAAAGGACTAACTCCCTCATAGCAACCACTGAGAGACTCTTCCAAATATCTGACAAGAGCAACTAAGGGGAAAAAGCTGGCTTGCTTAGGCTCCCAGTGGAAAAGGAATGCAGCCATCCCGGGGGGAAAGGCCAAAGCAACAGCAGAGGGTGCAAAGTTGTACTGTGTCCCCAGTCGGCTCACTTTCTCCTTTCCATTCAATCCAGGACCCCAGCTCGTGGGATGGTTTCACCCATATTCAGGGCTGATCTAAAAGCTAAACTTTTCAGAAATGTCCTGAGTCATACCCTGAACTGTGTCTCCTACGTTATCTTAAATCCAGGCAAGCTGACAGTGAAGACTGTCACATTGTCCCTGAATTTGTGGTTTAATTGACATTTGATTTTTGAAAGGACACAGCCTGACTCACCAACTTCGTATTGAATCATAAATATACACTGGTCAGTTATACCTTGGACCACCTACTTCTCATGTCAGAGCATACCTTTGGGTTAATTTCCCATTGGTTTGCTATCAAGACCTGGCAGCATCTCCATACAACTGACAGCAACCCATTCCCCTAAGCCTGACTCCAGTGTTAAAACAGAGTCTTGGATGGCATTAATTTGTTTGAGACTTTTAATCAGGCTTTAATTTGTCATGGTATTACTGCAAGGTTGTTGCTGGGATTTTTAAAACCACTTTATTGAGTTAAGATTGAAGTGCAAAAAGAAATACCACATGTACTTAATATACACAACCTGTCAGGCTTGGGGGTTCTAGATCCATGAAAGCACTTCTACAGTACTTCCACACCGTAAGGGCATCCATTGCCTCTGAAAGCTTTCTCCCTTCTAATTAGCCAGTTCATTAGTTAATTAGTGCTGAGATTTACCTATTAGCTGAATGTGGTCTCCCATGACTATAATCTCGGCACTTAAGAAGCTGCGGCAGGAGAGATATTGTGAATTTGAGGTCAACCTGGGCTACAGTGAATTCAAGGACAGCCTTGGCTATAGAGTAAGACTTCTTATCAAACAAACAACAAACAAAAGAGAATCCTCCCCACTTAGGCTTATGTGACTTACCACAAGAGAAGGTTTTGTGGTCGGTTGACTAGTGGGTTTGGGTTTTTGTTTGTTTACTTTGTTTCATCTGTCTTTCAAAGTAAGAGATTCACAAGGACATTTTGATTGGAGCTTGCTTGTCTGGCCATCCATATCAACAATATAGAGCAACCATGTGTCCTGTGACCCTGTGATGAGGGCTTCTAACTATCAGTTCCTGGTTCCTATGTGGCAGCCCCATCTGCTGAGCAGGAATCCCCTATGGTGGAATCCACCCCAAGAGCCCGTCTGTCCATCTTCCTTCTTCTCCTCTCCTTCGTCTTCCCCACCAGAAAGACATTTATTGTTGGAAGTGTGCATTCTCTTTCTCTCCTCAACAAACCTGGGAAAACAAAAGGTACACAGCACTTGTCTAGAAGGAAGGCATCTTTCCAGAAAAGAAGAGTGAGTGCCACAGTTGAATCAGACTTCCCGAGAACTTTCCCAGAGCATTAGCAACCCATAGATGCACACAATCTCACATGAGATGACATAGGGGGTACACGAGCTCTTCATCTTTCTACCCCTCCTAATCATGGCAGGACGGGGGAACATAACTGACCCTGAAAATGCCTGTCTCTGGGCCCTAACATAGGGTTCAAGTACAGCTGGACATGAAAGAGATAAATTAAAACCATTGTGAAGGCAGCTGGCCATGCAGAACCAATCTCCTTCATCTGTCAGCAAGTTACACAACTCTTAGCCTCCCTTATAATTAGTGTGAGTTCCATACAATTATCTGTGGGCCCGTGTGCCAGGAACTGAGTCAATCTTCACAGTAGGAGACAGGGAGATGAATCATAGGGGGGTCTTGGCCTACCCGGAGCACAGAACCAGGAAGGAGAAGTCGGCATGGTGGTGCTGTCATGTTGGAAACAAAGCATTATGGGTATGTGGACTAGACCACAGTCACTTCCAGCTGAACTTGGCTACAGAAGAGAGGGGTTTTACTGTGATTATTAATACATATTAATTGAACAAATTAATGATGGGATTCACTGTGATATTCCTACACATGCTTATAGGGTATGATTGAGGAAGACAGGGTTTTAACCAAACCACAGAGGCTAACTAATAAGATATCCTGGGTAAGGAGAAAGATCAGAACATAGTAGAAAAAAACCACCTGATGGAGGAATGGTTACTGAATGGTATGTTGTACCAACACCTAGGTCAGGCTCCCAAAGCCCAGACTCTTAGGATATGGATGTCCACACTGAGAAATGTGATCACAGCCAACTTAATCAGAACTCATGGCTTGAGACATTAATTAGATGATTCTCTGCCCTGTTTGACAGGTCTGGTGTTTTCTGTAATCCTTAAGTCACTAGAAAATTACTTCTCCCCGACGCTCTTCCGAGTCATCCGTCTGGCCAGGATCGGCCGCATCCTCAGGCTGATCCGAGCAGCCAAAGGGATTCGCACGCTGCTCTTCGCCCTCATGATGTCCCTGCCCGCCCTCTTCAACATCGGCCTCCTCCTCTTCCTCGTCATGTTCATCTACTCCATCTTCGGCATGTCCAGCTTCGCTAACGTTGTGGATGAGGCTGGCATCGACGACATGTTCAACTTCAAGACCTTTGGCAACAGCATGCTGTGCCTTTTCCAGATTACCACATCAGCTGGCTGGGACGGTCTCCTCAGCCCCATCCTCAACACAGGACCCCCCTACTGCGACCCCAACCTGCCCAACAGCAATGGCTCCCGGGGGAACTGTGGGAGCCCAGCGGTGGGCATCATCTTCTTCACCACCTACATCATCATCTCCTTCCTCATCGTGGTCAACATGTACATCGCCGTGATTCTGGAGAACTTCAATGTGGCCACAGAAGAGAGCACGGAGCCCCTGAGCGAGGACGACTTCGACATGTTCTATGAGACCTGGGAGAAGTTTGACCCAGAGGCCACCCAGTTCATTGCCTTTTCTGCCCTCTCAGACTTTGCAGACACGCTCTCTGGCCCTCTTAGAATCCCCAAACCCAATCAGAATATATTAATCCAGATGGACCTGCCATTGGTCCCTGGAGATAAGATCCACTGTTTGGACATCCTTTTTGCCTTCACAAAGAATGTCTTGGGAGAATCTGGGGAGTTAGATTCTTTGAAGACTAATATGGAAGAAAAGTTTATGGCAACGAATCTTTCCAAAGCATCTTATGAACCAATAGCAACCACCCTCCGGTGGAAGCAGGAAGACATCTCAGCCACAGTCATTCAAAAGGCCTATCGGAGCTACATGTTGCAACGCTCCTTGACACTCTCCAACCCCCTGAATGTGCCCAGGGCTGAGGAAGATGGCGTGTCACTTCCCCGGGAAGGCTGCATTACATTCATGGCAAATGGCAACAGTGCGCTTCCAGACAAATCAGAGAGTGCTTCTGCTATGTCTTTCCCACCGTCCTATGACAGCGTCACCAGGGGCCTGAGTGACAGGGCCAACATTAGCACATCTAGCTCAATGCAAAATGAAGATGAAGTCACTGCTAAGGAAGAGAACAGCCCTGGACCTCAGTGAGGACACTGCAGCATGCATGGGACAGTTTCTAATGTCTTCCACTGCTGTGCTAACTCCTTCCCTTTGGAGGTGGCACTGACCTACAGCCTCACCAATGCATGTCACTGGTCACGGTGTCAGAGCTGAACGGGGACATCCTTGAGAAAACCCCCACCCTGGTAGGAATCAAAAGCCAAGAGTACTCCTCCACTTTGATGTCTCTTCCAAGTTTCCAGAAGATGTCATTGATTTGTTCTGTTTGTGACCGGAGATGTGATTTACCAACTTCTCAGAGCCAGAACTTCCAGAGACACATGGGAAGGACATTTCTGATGGTCTCAGGCAGTCTTAGAAAAGCCACATGGGGTGGCACTGCTAATTAGGGTTTGCATGACTGCATGCTCGCAGCTGCTGGACAATACCTGTGAGTCGGCCATTAAAATTAGTATTTTTAAAGGTATGGCAAGAGTAATATATCTTTTGTGTGTATGTGTGCACGTGTACATGTGCATCTGGAGGCCAGAGGTTAATCTCTGGTGTCATTCCTCAGGCACTTTTGGAGATAAGGTCTTTCATTGCCCTGGAGCTCTCCAAATAGGCTATGCTGACAGGACATGAGCCCCAGGGATCTACATACCTCTGTTCTTCCCAGCTGTGGGGTTAAAGGCGCACTCTCCGAATGCCTGGTGTTTTTACATAGGTTATGGGAAGTCAAATTCAAGTCTGCGTGCTTGTTTACAAACCAAGATATCTCCCCAGACCCCAGCATTATATCTTAAAATATCATTTTATGTCCCCCCCTTACATATATGATACTAACATGTGCCATGAGCTACTTCTTCCTCGCTCTCAGGGCTCCTGATACTCTGCGGTCAGAACTTGAAGATGCTGACCTAGGAGCTGGAGAGCTGAGTGCTAAATTTTTAAAATATACATTTGAGTACAAGTGCAGAGGCCAGAGATGGCACTGGGTCCCTTGCAGCTGGAGTTTACAGATGTTTGTGAGCCACCTGATGTTGGTGCTGGGAACCAAATTCAAGTCCCCTGCAAGCCCAGAAAGTGCTCTTAACCACCCAGCCCTAACTGGCTCTATTTTAACTCTCTACTGACTGCCTGGCTTGCTAAGGCTAAGATCTTTCCCCTATGAACCTCAGTTCCTCCACTTTTAAAGTCTGTAGGAATAGAAGACAGATTAGACAGCTCTCAGTCTCATGGTTAAGTCTCAGTGGTACTCCGACCCAATGGATGGGGAGGACAGCACAGCCATGTGCAGATCTTCCCCTATGACTGGCCAAGGCAGATATGGACTACATTCCGGATCCAGTTTTATATCTCATAATAGAACTTTTAAGAAGACCATCATCGTCCCATGGGACCAAGACTCCATCATTAGCATAATTAAAAGCAAATGGATATTTCAAGAAAAATCTGGTGAATAGAATATTATAGCCAGTAGGTTTTTATCCATCCAACAAACATTTGTAAGTACATGTCATATGGCAAGCATTGCTCTAAGAACAAGAAATGAAACAGGAGCTAAGCTCCATAGATGAATTGGAGTTTATTTGATGTATATCCTGGTACATCAACTTGACACAACCAAGAGTATCTGGGAAGAGGGAGTCTTAACTGAGGGATTGCCCAAATCAAACTGACCTGCTGCCGTGTCTGTGGAGAACCGTATTGATTGATGATTAAGGTATAAGAATCCACCCAGCCCCCTGTGGACAGTGCTATCACTGGGCAGGTGGTCCTGGATTATAAGAAAGCTAGCTAAGCATGAGCCAGAGAAAGCAATCCAGTAAGAAGCATCCCTCCACGGTCTCTGCTTCAGTTCCTGACTCCGGGCCCCTTTGTTGGTTTCTCTCAATAAAGGACTATAATCTGTAAGCTGAATAAACCTTCCCATCCCCGGGTGGCTTTTGGTCATGATGTTTATCACAGCAACAGAAAGCAAACTAGGACAATGTGTTAGACACTTTGCTTACTTCTGGGACAAAATAAGACCACTTAAGGAATACACATACACACACACACACACACACACCACCACACACCACACACTCACACATATGTTCACAGTTTTAGGGTACATCATCCAAGCGTGAGTTGAAAAGTCACATCATATCTACAGTCATGAAGCAGAATGATGTGGATGTTGGTGCCCCGCCTGGTTTCCCCCATGGGATGGTATTGCCCACACTTAAGAGTCTTCACCACTCAGCTAAACTTCTCCAGAAACATTCTCACAGGCACACTTAGAGATGTGTTTTTATGATGATTCGAAAGGCTGTCAAGGTGACAGTGAGGATTAGCCATCACATGACAACATAGGTCATACGGAATCTTCACGGAAGTGATCATCAACATCTGTGAACTCTTGAGACATTCCCAGCCGTAATCAAAAAGCTCAGGTCGATTCGCAGGCCGTGTGTTGCACGACAATATTTACTGTCGGAGTAGTTACGAACCATAGAGGCTGATTCACATTACATGTATCACAGATGCAGACTTCCCCCTTTTCTGACACTGTTGGCCCAGCAGTGGCCAAAAGCTTTCAAGGTTCTAGTAGGAGATTGGCAGCACCCAAAGGTGCATGGGATCATAGTAGTGATGGGACAGTGGAGGCACAAGCCATCCCAGCACAAGCCAGACTCTCTCAGGTCACATCTGAAAGATGAGTTCAACGCGACAGTGCTTACTCCTGGGTGCCACTGATCCAAGGGACACAGACACAGACTGCAGAGAACTCTGTCAACATCTCAGCCCCATGCAGTCAAGGCCAGAAGCGATCTGAAATTACATTCGCACAAGTGTTTACAAGACAGTTGGGTAGACAGACAGCCCAGGCCACCTGCTTATTTTTATGGTGTAATGTGAAAGAATTAGAAGTAGTTAAATAGCAGAGACTGGTTTTTACAAAATCGATGATGTTATTCTCGGAAGTATTTGTTCTAGTTTGCGTCTCTGTTGCTGTGATAAAACACTGATCAAAAAAAAAAAGCAATTTGAGGAGGAACAAGGTTATTTCACCTTAGACTTTCTAGTAAGTTCCATCATCAAGTGAAGCCAAGGCAGAAACTCAGCCTGGAAGCAGGAACTGAAGCAGAGACCATGGAGGGATTCTGCTTTCTGGCTTGCTCAGCTGCCTTTCTTATATAACCCTGTGCCTGCCTAGGAATGGCGCCACCCACGGTGGGCTGGATCTCCTTACATTAACTAGCGATCAAAACACTGTCTCACAAACATGGTCAGAGTCCAGTCTGATGGATGCCGTTCCTCATTTAACATTTCTTCTTCCCCAGTATGTCAGGTTGACAGCTCACTCTGTCTGTGACAGTATTTCTTATCCTAGCTCCTACCCCAATTCGTAGATTGAATTGTGTCCTCCAAAGAGATCTATTGAAATCATAACCTAGGAGATCTGTTAATACGGATTTGTTTGGAAGTGGGTTCTTTGCAGGGATAACCAAATCAAGATGCAGTCATATTCCATCGGGCCCTACTGCTGTGGCTGGTGTTAGGATAGGAGGGTGATCTGGACATCCACAGAGGGGAGGTGCAGCAGGACAATGCACATGCAAGGAAAACTCCATGTGAAGACAGATCCGGCTGCTGGCAAAGGAATGTAAAAACTTGCTGACATTCCTCAGAAGCCCAGAGACAGTGAGGGAGACAAGGGTTCTCCCCCAGACATCAGAGAGAGCACAGCCAATACCTTGGTTGATGATGTCTAGTGCCCAGGAATGCTAGACACAAGGAAATGTATGTCTGTTCTTTAAGCCACCTACCTGTGGTACTTTGCTATAGCGTCCCTGGAAAACAAATACACCCTGTGTTTATTCCACACAGAGATGTCTGTTAAGGTTCAGTGGGAACCATTGAAACAGGGATATAGCATGGACTGAGTCCTTCACAGTTTTCAGGAATGTGCTCCATGCAAATGCAAGATCATCTCTGTAAAGTTTCACTAAACCTTGGCTCCGTGAGATGGCTCAGTGCCTTAGTGACATTACTCAGGACCTACCTGGTGGAAAGAGAGAACTGACTACCGGCTTGTCCTCTGACCTCCACATGTGTGCTGTGGCACACTGGCACATACACTCCTACCCCAACACACCCAAAATAAGTCATTGTAACTTTAAAAACTTCACTAAATCCACTTCTAAAGTTTTCCTAGTGTCCCCATTACAAGGTAAGAGCAAGTCTGAGCAGATGTGGAGAGCACAGGCACTTGGAAATCCAGCCTCACACCCACCACAGGAGACGGCACTAGAACATCTTTGATCAGAAGATGTGAGAATCCCTCAACACTGGAGGAGATCAGACAGAGCAATGGTGCTGACCATGCAAACATCCTTAAAATGTGCATTTTCTTTACTAAACACTTCTTGTAACACACCTCTCACTCTCACCAAAGAAGCCTGTCTTTGCAGCTGGTCCAGATCATTAAAGAAATCCACAACCGGTCAAAACTCAGACAACAACTGGCCTTGGGATGAGCAATCCCAATTGATATATCTACACCTGAGGCTCACGAAGGATCTCAGAAGAGGACGTGGAAAGATTGTAAGAGCCAGACAACCAGGACATAGCACAGACATGGCTGCCTAAGCAAGACGTATGTAATGATAATGCCTGTTGGCATGCAGTCATGGATGAGGGAAATCTTACAAACCTCCACGCTAGAGAAGGGCTACAGGCAATTAACAACTGCTGAGAGTAAGAGGACTAATCCTTTCCAGGGAACCCCCTCTTCGGTATGTATCCAATCCCAAGGGGTCAGTCCTAAACACACATACACATGCAACACTGAACAGAGTCAGAAGGATATAGGATATAGTTATGTGTGTGTGTGTGTGTGTGTGTGTGTGTGTGTGTGTGTGACAATGACAAGAGAATAAGAGGTTGAGAGGGAGTTGGGGAGACACAGGTGGAGATAGAGGAGGAGAGATAGAATAGAAATGTTATTAAATACAACACTCATGGATGAAATTCTCAAAAAAAAGCTTTTAAATTTA